TTATAGTAACTTTTACTCTCAAAATTTCATTCGAAACGCTAAAAGTACTTGGAAGAAAATTATAATATATCGAAAAAATATTAAGGAATTGGAATCGGACCTATGTTGATATGAAAAATAAATCTTATTTTTACGTGAGAAATCTCCCCACGAGAGATGGCACATGTTTTTCGGTCAGAACTACGTCTCCTGAGCGTTTTATTTTTTGGATTGTGTCAATGCATGCCTTGGTTAATTTTTAAGAGCAAAGTGAATTTGCCGCCTACATTTGCAGGTCCTTAAAAATGGGAAAACATAACGCAATATGATATATACAGCTTCACTGACAAATACAAACGGACATCTACAGGCATTTATAGTAGCCAGTTTCTAAAACATGGGTGTAACAATATTATTTAAGCTTGCTATGTAGGTACTTGACAGTAAAAATATTAGCTTATCACCTTTTTATACGGTGTGTGCTAGAAAATTCGTAAGAAATGAATAAATTAAAATAGAAAAAAATATATTGTCAAGAACCAAAACCGACTTTAGACTTGGGTATACAGGGTGTCCAAGGGTGACCGTGCATTAGATGTTTCTAGAGAATTACAATATCTAAATCGAAGATTTATTGCACATCTAAGCACAGGCTCTATCGACTAAAAATATTTTCCATATGGCGGCATTTTCGGAAATATGCTTTAGAACTAAGTCTTAAATAATTAAAAAACGATATGTTTTAGGTATGGGAATTAGGCCATCACGGTCTTTATGCCGAGGAGCAAGGGAAAAGACACCACCTACCTGCTGAGCCTTATCCAGAGTCAGAACTTCAATGTAAGGACATCGAGTTGGCGAGTCAGCAACTCGAGGGAGGAGGGTCCTGGTCAGGTCCTCGCAATAGGAATTGACCTCAAATCCAAGGAGGCAATAGGGAAAGAGGGATATCCTCTATTATAAACACGGAACAACACCGGTATCAGGTCTAAGGAGAGACCAAGTTAAAGAAGTGCAGAAAATGGAGACAGATCCTCCAGCCTACACCTCATGGGTACTTCAGCCGGAGGCAAGCTCCTCAACTGTGAAGGGCACGGAGGGCCAAACTCCAACCGTGGAAGGGTGTGCACCCTCGAAGAAAGAACTTTTGTTGTCAGAGGAGGATGGAAAATACCCTGTCTCCCTACAACAGAGGGTATGATGGGATATAGACTATGTGATGAGTTATAACTCAAGGAAGGGAGGCACAATAGATCTTTAAGGTCGCAGTGATTAACCCCCATCTCACTTATTCTATATTCTACATTCTTGGTATAGGAACGTATATACCGAGTGTGTTTCAAAAGTGGCATCCCCCTATAACTTTTATATTTTTTCATGACATTTATATGACATAAATTAGGATTGATTGACGTATTCAATTGTTTTCGGTTACTTCCTGTTTCACCGGAAATGACTTTTGACAACTTTTGATTTATAAATGGCACCCTCGGTATTTTTTTACTTTATTGGAAAGAAAATAACACTCTAAATAGAATGACATATCATATGTCAACTTTTGACATTGTCGCATATGGTGTATTTAAAATTATAACTTGTGGTTCGTAACGAAAATTTGACTCGATATACTGAGTGTGTGGTATTAAATTATTCGTAAGAAAATGCTTTTTCCAAATATGCTAATGAGCCACCATCATTCTATTTGAAAAAATTGAGATATGATTAAAAATACGATTTGAGCATTTTCTAACTGACCAGGACAAGACACTAAAAACATTAGACGATCAAATCTATTTTTCCACGGCTCCTTGATTAAGAATTAGTATTTTTAACATATCCATGGCACTCTAGATTGAATTTTAAAATACATTTTTTTATTAAGCGACAATGTCAAAAGTTGACATATGATATGTCATTCTATCCAGAATGTCATTTCCTATCGAATAAAGTAAAAAATACCGAGGGTGCCATTTAAAAATCAAAAGTTTTAGTTATTTCCGGTGAAACAGGAAGTGACCAAAAACAATTGAATACGTCAATTAATCATAATTTATGTCGTATACTGACATACCAAATCTCATTTATTTATCTGAAGAAATAAAAAAGTTATAGGAGTGAGCCACCTTTTGAGACGCACCCGGTATATCGTAAAGTACCTATATGTATAATCACAAAGTAATGAATTCAAAACCCTTTTCACTAGTGAAATAAAAAACGCGAGTTTCCTAACCAAACCAACTATTTATATATCAAGAGATATAATCTATCTATTTTTAAGTAGATTTGAAATATCATTTTATAAAAAAAACAATCTTTACACATAATTTATTTATTCCAATTATTTCAATGATATTTTATACTTTAACACGAACTATGGATGTCAAACAGATATATTTTTTAGAAAAACATATTTATTTATGGGATACCATTCAACAGCGCATAAATCTATTCGATTGATAATTTACAATTTATTTTTATACAGTTATATATTTTGATTAATCTTTTTGCTAAAGTTTCCGTTAATAATGGTATGAAAATCGTATAAATGAAACAACAACGAAAAAGTATAGTTTCAGTAGGTAAAATTACACTGCTAATAAATGGGAATCATAATCGTAAGAATTATGCCGATTTTACAACTCTTCGAAATTGAACGTATTCATTTATCTAAATCTACCTATGAGCCAGAAGTAGATTTTGACGTTAAAATTACAACTATTATTATCTCTCTCTCCCTTCCTCTCTCTCTAATGATTTCGATATATAATTAAATATGTTAATTTTAAATTCACCTAAATTTTTCATAACATTCATTTAAATATTTTACAAATTCAGTACATTATTAACAGAAACTTTTTCTTAACATACGATTTATAAACAAACATTTTTCATTTTCTAAAAATTTGACTATTAATATTTTTTTATTTAGTTTAGACACACTTTTTTACTTGAAGAGAATTATTAACAAAAAATTTAATGGTAATGTAACATCATCTAAAATAGTATTTATATTTAAATATCTTTGTACAGTTTATTTACATATATGTGATATTGGTCCTGGTTTTTAAAATACACATATTTATGTACACTTTGTATTACTCAGAGAATATACACTTAAAATCAAAATTTACAGCTTGCACTATTATATCGTTTATTGAAATAAAATTGTATTTAGTTTGTAATGAGTCACCCTGATCTCCGCGTGAAAGAAACGTGAAATAACACTAATTCCATATATTATATATTAAAGAGGCCCAATCATTTACATTTTATCAAAAAAGGAGTGTTTTGTCTCATATATAAACACTGGTACAATGAATGTTAACAGAAGACAGCTTACTTATTTTAACATAATATATTTTATTTTTGACAGAACAAATTTAAATCCAATCCATATCCAAGTCAAATTTACTGGAGCCATGGATAAGGCTGCTCACGTAGCAATATTTTCATTTTGTTTTCAAAACGCATGATTCTACATTTGAATTTAAGTGCTGTTGTTATAGACACACCCTAAATTATCTTTTATTAATTTTTATACATATATTTATTTTTTTAAATATTTAGTTTGTGGTTTTAGACGTATTATATATAATTAAATACTATATACAGTTATTATACAATATATTCCAGGATTGTCTTTACAAGAGGAAAAACTTTTTTATTATTGACAATTTGGGGAAAATGCATTCTTCATAAACAATTTTGCTTGTTCCAAAATGGTTAATCCCCTTCTCGAAATTTCCATATCGTTTCGGAGAAAATTAAGAAAAACATAAAAATACGGTGGTAAATCCTAAAAATCAAATGGAGTTCCTATGGTAATATCGATTCAATATCATTCTTTGATAAATGGTATTAATTTTGATTAATGTCGTATTCTATGCTGTTTTTAAAGTATCACATTTTCCGATAACTATCGTCACCCCTTCCGTAGCATTGAACTAAATAAATTTTGTGCTTCTTTAACATTCTAAGAAAACAAAAAAATGTAACGTTAATTAAAATTCTATGAATAACAATCTATCAAAAAAATAAAAATGAAGTTATATTACCATAGTCGCGTTTTGATTTTTAGGAGTTGGAAAATATTCTATAGACTATAGACTATATTTTCATATTTTTCTTATTTTTTTCTGAAACGGCATCGAAATTTGAAAAAGTGCAAACGGGATTAACCATTTTAGAACAAGCAAATATTTTTATTAATAATTAATTTTCCTCAAAATGTCAATAATAAAAAAGTGTTTCCTCTTGAAAGACAACTCGGGGACATACTCTATATAGTTTATTGCTATAAAAAGGCTGGGTATTTGGCTACCGAATCAAAAAACCAAAAAATATGTATATAAAAAAATATTGATATGGTGACATTTCATTTTTTGGAAAATAAAGTAATTTAGAAATAGTGTTTTTTATTGGACCTTTATACCGTGCTCGTAACTGTTACTTTTGGGTCGGTATTTACATATGTGGAAGTAAATAGCATAGGGATCGTATTAAGTCGGAGTGAGAGAAATGCGTCGGTGTGCTGTTGCGGTATTGCCGGTACGCATTTCCCTATCAAGTAAAGTAAAATCACGATCGCAAACCGCTTATTCTTAAAAGGCTTTTTTTTCGAAAAGATAACTAGATAAAATCATTAAATATGTTTCTGAGCTTCTGAAATGGAATTATAAGGATATCGTTAGAGTGTCCAATTTTTTAACCAGAAAACGTCAGTAATCGCGATAATTTAAAAACTCAACTTTTTAGCACATAACACGCCATAACTTAGAGCCACTTTAGATATTGAAACTTTTTTATTTTATTTTGAAGATCGGATCTTTTACGATATGTTTAAATAAGAAAAAATCGATAAGAGGTTGTTTTTTACCATTCAAAAATTTTAAACGACCCATCTATTTACTTTTAATGCATAGCAATTTTCAGCAATTGTGTAACTCTTATATTTATAAAGATTTTCACATACGAAGAAAATATAGCAGAAATTTGAATTTTGAAAAACTAAAATCAATTATTTCTAATAGGTTTCGAGATATCGATTTTTGAATTCAGAGTTCTAATAGCGTAATCACTGTCGAATACCAATTCAACTCCAAATGTTTCTACCAAAAATGCAAGTGTTTCTAACTTGCACTTAAAAATGTTCAAGCTATAGGGAAAATTACGACTCGCTAATAAATAAAAAAATAAAGGTATCACGAGAGATAATTAAATCGTAAAACTGAACGCATGATGTACACTTTTCCCTAGAGTACTGACAGAGGTACTGATTGGGTCGACTGGTCAACTGCGACAAATCTGCTAGATCCCCTTCCGCGTCTCTTAGCAACGTGCACAACTTCTCGGTTTATTTCATACGTTTGGCAATGTGTTTACTGATCTCTGTTTGTTCGATACATTATAAAACGCATTATTGTACTCTTCTTCCATACGGAAATCTCGACCCAAGATAAACCTTTGCCAGCCCTTAGTAATATATTATTTAGTTATTAGTTAATACACTAGAATACTATAATCCACAAAATAAATAGTATACCCAACAAGTAAATGTGTGTTACTCATTTCTTATTACTTATTTCTTCAATAAATATATATTTGAGAAATAATCTTAAATCTATTTATTTAAGTTTTATTCAACGTTGAAAATAATTAGTTACTATTATTCTGGAAAGTTCTAGAGATATTTCTTTCCAAAATTATCTTTAGTAGATGGCCATTTTTATTCTATTAAAAACTCTGATTTTTCTTATTAAAAAAACATTACCTATACTAATAAATTTGTTGTACCATTGTTTAAATAGTTCTTTATAATAACATCTCCTTAAACTTATGAACCGACTTATAAAATGGAGGGTCTCTTTATTGATTACTTCACGTTTTATTACGTAATCGCGATTTTCAGTAAATATCCGACAAGTATTGCAAACTCGTTGACGGTTATTCTGAGGCCGCTGGACTTGACCCTGGTGCCGTCATCCGCCATCACGCTGGATGCGATCACGACCGGTTGCCCACCGGCAGAGACGCTGGAAACTTCCGAACTGACACAATTTGGAACCGGTGGCAGAGTGTAGTTATCCAAGCCTTGGCATCGTAGTCTGTGCTCGCCTAGACAGGCGGAATAGGCGATGGCGTGGGGGATGTAACTTTGGTCAAATGTACCTGCAACAAAAATTATTTACTGTGTATTTTTGTTTAAATAGTGATACAGCTTATTTAACATACACATCTATATATTCGGTACCAATTAAACTTTAAGTTACCGATGGCGCGATTTTTAAATACATTGTTGCCAACCATAGACATATTCGGTGCCAGGCTAACTAACTTAAATTTCCGGCTGGCGATTCAGGTGGTAGCTCTGCTGTAAAAAAATGTCAAGCTGTCACATTTATTTATTTATTTCCTGACATTGTCATTCGTTTTGACACTTTAGTTTTGTATTACAAGTTTTTGATTTAAATGAATTGTATTGTGATACTTAAAAATAAGCTTAAACATTTTTAATAGAAGACCTGGCAGTCGAACACTGTTCTTTTAAGAACCTCTTTTAGTGTGAAGTGTACAAGCTTATTTATTAATAGCCGTAAAGAACTCATTGCAACTTTATTAGAATATTTTGAACAGGAAAGCGGTAGTAATGGCCCTTTATGTCCCTCAAGTGCTGTTAAGGAGGTGAGTTTGGTTGATATAAATAATAACTGTTTACTTATATATTTATAATTAATTTATTTTTGTTCCCAAAAATATTTTGATTAAAAGAAAATATGTAAAAGTAGACTTTAAGTCCAGCTTAATAACGTGACTAAATAGTTAGAGAATAGTGGGAGATAAAATTTTAATTGGGGGTAAAATTCTTAGTGCGATTTTCAATCATGTTTAATCTTCAGTAAATGACCGCATGGTGGCAACATCTCATAATTGTATATCTATTTAATATAATATAAACAATTGTATTTGCATCAATAGTAATGTGTATATCGAGAAAAAAGAGATTGGTTTTATAATACAGTTTGTCCAAGACGACAGACAGTCTCGATAGTCAGACTTTAGTTCGCAAGCAATTTTTTTTTGCAGTGTTTAGACCAATAAGCGTCAGCTAGATAGTATTAACAATGAAATAAATTATGATTTTGTATTAACCATTGTATAGTTTCTGATCTAATCTATTAACGAATTAATAGATCAGATCAGAAAAATTGGTTGGTTAATCCAAAGACAATAGCTCAGATGTCGCATAATAATCCTTATCCATTTTCCCAATAAAGGTACCTATTATCTAAATCACCAGTCAACAGAATTTAAAAAAGAACATGGCAATGTGACCTAAGTGTGTAATCCGTAAAACGTCTTGTTCCTTACAGGAAGTTCCTTTATCCTCAGCCTTATTTTTGAAGTCAAGAGATCGCAAATTTAAGAGTCTCCACAACAATTTCGATCTCCATTTCCATCTCAAATTCAAAGGGATACCGATTATTTGCCTTCACATGTAAGAGATTGAAAATAGCATTAAGGCTCTCATATGTCGTTTTCTCAAGTACCGATGCTATAAATTTTGATGTTGAAAAGAAATACGCAGCATTGGAGATTTTCTTCCGAAGAATAAAAAATATCTTACATTATCGATTTTGGTATCGATTTATAAGTTTTTGAGGATGTCAATACGAAAAAGGCCTTATCTCATTTTAAGGTACCGTTTGGGCGTTAAAGGCGATATAACCTATTTTAGATGGGTAGAAACGTAAATCGGTGCCAAGTGTAAATATTAATTACATTTATTATAATAACATAGTACTTTGGCTTTATTAATTACTTACATAAAAACATTAACTCAAATTGGATACATATCATATCCAAAAAATTATACGTTTACGCTATTTATTACCAAATTTTGAATGTATAAGGCTTGGGTAAGTTTAGACACCCAGCGACGACATGCAAACTGTTTCAGGACCGCGACCGAACATGTGTTTGAAATAGTCTCAGTGCAATAGCAGAATTACAAGTGGTAACCAACATCGGAAACATCATAACATCTAATGATAAAGATTTAAAAGGCCCAAATCAAGTGGACTGCACCTACCAAGAAGAGGCTGATGGCCGTATTATTTGGCATATGAGGGACATGGCAAATTATGGTGCTAAATCAGTTCTAATCCGATGCTCTGACACATACGTTTTGGTTTTGGCAGTGCCATTCTACCATCAATTAAATGAAATTGGCCTTGAAGAGTTATGGATATTGTATAGAACTGGAAAATCTTATTTATATTCGGTTATATTCCAGCACATTTAATTGCTCTTGCCCTGCAAAAAAAAAAATCAGAGGCACTAAGAGGATTTCATGCCTTCACTGGCTGTGATGCGACCTCATTCTTTATGGGGAAGGGCAAACGAACGTGTTGGAAGGTCTGGACCGAGAAATTCAATGAAGCTTTTGCTGCAATTTCCAAGCCTTCGAAAAATATCGACAATAGTCTTAAAAGTCTGGAAAAGTTTGTTGTCAAGCTATATGGGATTCAGGAAGTAGACAATGTGAATCAAGCCAGAAAATTTTTATTTATGTCCCAAAGTAAGCCATTGAATTTACTGCCTCCAACTGCAGCTGCTATATACCAACACGCAATGAGGGCATCATATCAGGCAGGGCAGATTTGGGGTAGATCAGCCGATATACCGCAAACTGAGACCTTAACCTCACCTCCTTCTTGGGGGTGGTTTAAAGAAGGGACAAAGTGGAACCCTTTGTGGTCTGCGCAATCAAATATATGGAAAGCTTGTCGTGCATTGGATAGGTGCGGATGCACGACCCAATGCGACACTTTAAGGTGTCTCTGCAAGAGAAGTAACCTACCTTGTAGACCTGCATGCAAGAAACGTAGAGGAAATTGCAGTAATGTAGGGTAAGTGAACTATCGGTTCTTAATTTGCAACCAAACTACCAAAACACGTAAAAATACTTGTAACTTATTGCTTATACTTTTTTAGTCAGTATTATAGGATCCGATTTGCCGAATTGCAGTGATAGCGAGAACGACGACGATTTGGAGTTGTAAACAATAAATAAAATGAGTTAGTAAATTGAAAAAATATTTTTAAAATTTAATATATTTATTTTATTCCTTTTTTTAAATTAAATTGACCCGAAAATGCGTTTATTAAAATCTTTACGGGGAAGGGGGTTGGTTAAACCCCCAAACCCCCCCTTTTTCACGACCCTGCAAAATAAGAGTGTTCAGTAAAATTGCATTTAATCTGGTTTAAAACAATCAAATAATAGCACATTAAAGTTTCACTTTAATGTTCAATCATTTTTGTAGGTTCTACCCCCACCTAATACCTAAATGGCACCATAAAATAATTGCGGAGGTTATATTCGCTTTTGTTATCCTGAAAAACTTGCAAATCGATACCAATATCAATAATATCCAAAATTTTTTAATATAGGCACCCACTTTTAACCCCTCCCCCCCTCCACTCCGCCAGCAACGGTTTGAACGGCGGAGCTGCGGGTCAAATCGAGTGTTTTCTAAAAAACATCTGTGCAAAGTGTGTTGCTTCCATCATTAATAGCCACATTTTTCCACGTAGCCCATAGACTATTATCGAAATCTACCAGCTCTAAAAATATTTGCACTTATTTAAGACTGACCGATATACCGAAAACTAACCAGATATAAAAAAAATCACATTTCCTATTTAGAATACTAATTTCTCTAGTAGCCAAAAAACTCTTAACATGAAGAGAAATGTCCACTTAAGAATTCTCACGTTTTACTGTAAAGCGATAGTGACTTGCGATAGGTATAAATTTCTCTAAATTGCCTTTTCGATTCGATAAGTTCACTTGATAAGGAAAGAAAAAACTTTTAAGTCGCGTCTCAATACTTACATGTAATTTAGGGGTTGAGAGATAAAATTGACATATACAGGGTTGTTCACCACATACGACACGGAGTATTGTAGCTAAACGATGAGATTTTTACAAATTGTAAGTTTGGGGTTCGTTGAAGGACTATTAGAGCTACAATTTAAAAATATTTTTACAAGATACAGAGTGTCCCAAATAAATAAAAAATATCACAGTTGTATTTTTTTAAATGGAACACCCTGTATATTATTACATTTTTAGTTTCTACGATTAAAATAAAGGTAAATTTGATTAAGGTTTATTATACTTAAATCTTACCGTTTTTGAAATATTTTCAATTTTGTGAAATTGCAGTAAAAATTTTAAGGCTTCATTTCTCCAAGGGTATCAATGTTTTTAATACTAAATATTTAATGAAGTTTATTTATTGATCAGTTATTGTAGAAACTAAAAATGTAATAATATACAGGGTGTTCCATTTAAAAAAATACAACTTTGATATTTTTTACTTATTTGGGACATTCTGTATCTTGTAAAATTATTTTTAAATTGTACCTCTAATAGTCCTTCATCGAACCCAAAACTTACAATTTGTAAAAATCTCATCGTTTAGCTACAATACTCCGTGTCGTATGTGGTGAACAACCCTGTATATTATCTCTGTTTTATTAAAAAATATTGATTTTTTAAATTAATCATAAAAGATAATATTTTTAATAAATTATTATCTGTTCAAAGGGAACGGTTTTCATATTAGGCTAATGTATAAGACTGAAAATTCGATAATTAATGACTTAATTAATGACATACAACGTGAAAACTCGACATTTAGCTAATTAGCTAACCTCTAAAGCTCCAACAAAGGCACATATTATAGAATAAGATTCAAAATATTGAATTATCAAGTGTCTAGCATGCAAAACAAATAAAAAAGCATGCCTTCCGGATGTGGAGTTTGTTATGCAGTGTTGAAAACTCGATGTTTTGCCTACATTTATTTTTAAGTAATTTTTATAAGAGAGTTAAAGAACAAAATAAAGCAATATACAAGGAGGTCTAAACTGTACCCCGTAAACTTCGGCAGCATATTCTGCAGATAAAAATCAATAATAAACTTCGTATAAACGTCGGTCCCAAAATGCTTAGTATCGGAGATAGAGGGGGTAGAAGTTCCATTTTTATTTCGATTTTTTACAAATAATTTATTAAGTAACGTTAATATTTAGGTGGAAATTGGTGTCTGATATTTTTTTGACATGAGAAATTTGATTTTGATGTCAATATGACTCCT